TATTATTATTATTATTATTATTATTATTATTATTATTATTATTATATTTGATGTTAAGAGGTGCGCGAATGAATGAAGAAAAACTTTTTGGCATTTTGTGATTTTCATTTCACAAAGTCCCAGAATAGTTTGGGTTGGAAGGGACCTTAAAGATCCTCCATTTCCAACCCTCTGCCATGGGCAGGGGTAGCACCATCCAACCTGGCCTTCAATTTGTTAAAGGAGACACACCCTGGTTAACCCAAAAATCTCCTTTTTTCTCCCATTGCCAAGCCACAATAGGTTCAGCACAGAAACACTTGGCTGTCCTTTGCAAAGCTACAGAAGGTCTAAAGTTGGAGGTTGGCAAGAGATTTGAATGTGTCCTGGAGAGTTCTCCCAGTCCTAGTATTAAACAACCTGTTAAATCAGCAAACTGGATCTTGGGAAACAGGAAAAGAGAGAGGTTTTCTGTTCAGTCACCTCTGCTGTGCAGGGAAGCATTGCAACCACCGAGCAATCTGTGTGTGCAGAGCACAGAGCAGCCCTCAGCTTGTACCAAAGTTCTAAGTGAATATCAGAACATGAATATTTGAAATGCCAGATGTTTCTTTCTGAATCTGCAGGCTGCCAAACGGGAGCTGGAGAGGCAGAGGCAGCTGGAGTGGGAGCGCAACCGACGGCAGGAGCTGCTGAACCAGAGGAACAAGGAGCAGGAGGACATCGTGGTGCTGAAGGCAAAGAAGAAAACCCTGGAATTTGAACTGGAAGCTCTTGTGAGTGGTGATGGCACAGCTCAAACACACAAGCACAGTGTGGTGGTGACTGTGCCTTGGCTGTGTTTGTTTTCTAGAATTTCTCTTTTAAATATGGAATAAAAGTAGTTTTTAGATCCAGATTTGCACAATCAAACATTTTTAAAAAACCACATTATATAATAGATTTTTTTTTTTTTTTTGAAGAATGATAAGAGAAATCAGTTGGAGGGGAAGCTTCAGGATATCAGGTGTCGGCTGTCGACCCAAAGACAAGAAATTGAAAGTACAAATAAATCCAGAGAGCTCAGAATTGCAGAAATCACCCATTTGCAGCAGCAGCTACAGGTGAGAAAACATTCTCTCATTTTATGCTTAGCCTTGAATCTTGGCCTCCTCAAAAACATCAATATCCTGAGCAAACCTGGAATGAGCTGTTCCTCACACTTAAAGGATCACTGTAGACAATTAGTCATTCCTGTAAATTAATGTCCTTCAGAAGTGTCTAGGAACTGCTTCCTACACCTGAAGATTTGTCTGGGATTATCCCTTCATCCTCCTGCTGTGGGGAGCAGGAAATGCTTTGGCTGCAGGTGTTGTTGGGGATCAGGAGAAGGAAATTGTCCTGTGTAAATTTTGCTGTTGGTGTGTTGGGGGAAAGAACTGATTGCAGTGAAGTGGCTTGTTGATTTTTTTTTTTAATTATAAAAAATAATGAACTTTCAGAATGGAAGTTCCCAGTGAAAGCAGGGAGTTGTTGATCCAAGCCTGGCATTTGCCTTTCTTATTGATGTAAAATTCTGTCACATCAGAGCTGGAGCTGAGCAGGTGCTGAGCTGAGCTGAGCTGCCTTTAGTGAAAGAATATTCCTTGTTGTTTGTAAGGGTTTTTCAATGGGCTGTAGTAGTTAATTTAGGAATTTTTCTCTTTATTCAATACTTTATAGGGCTTGGAATTAATTCTTGGCTGGTCATGGGGGCTCTCAGTGTGTTTGTACCACTACAAAGAATCTCACACTTATGGAGCTGAGGTGTAAAACCTAATCCTGCTTTTCCATCCCAGCTTCACTCCTCCTTTCCCAGGCAGTTGTTCTCCTGGGTTCTGGGCTTTGAGGTGGTTTGGCAGCAATAGCTGTGTGGTGATGTCTGCTCTCATTGATCTCCACCACTGATATTTCTTAGTGTCACTTGAGGTGTTTTTATCCCAATTGTGATCCTAGAAAATGTCACTGCTTAGGAGGAAAGGACACATTTTGTCTAGGGAGAACCTTTGAGCTTTTTCCTGAAAAACAAATTTTTTTTTTTCAAATATCCTGTAAATTTTCTTGTCTCATCTGCAGAGGACAGACTAAAGATGTAAATGAGTTTTAAAAAAGGATATTTTCATCCTCTAAACTCTCAAATAGGTTAAAAAGTCAATATTGTCATTTTCTTTGTAGGGTGATAAATCTTCATTGGAAGGAGTTTAGTTTAATACATCTGACACTTCCTGTGGGAAGATGAGTTAATTCAAAGGAGTAATTATTCTTCAGCCCATTAATTACTTCCAAGCTGCAGTTTCATTTAACCTGTGGAAGGAGTGGTGTCCCAGTTAATCCTGGTGATGAGGAGCTGTGCCAGTTGCAGGGGTGCTCAGAAGGATCCTGCTCTCCCAGCACCTGGGCAGTGTTTGAAACACGTTTGTGCTGTGTGGGGCTTGCTCAGTTCCTGCAGGGATCACTGAGCTCCTTGCTGAACTTTGAAAAGAGAATTTTCACTTGTCCAAGGGGCAGGAGCTGGGTTTTGATTTCCCCTGCCATGTGGGACATTACTCAACTCTTGGCCATTTCTTGTTGCACCAATTTCCAGAGTTTCTGATGCCGTTAATTTCTTTCATGTGTTCCTTCAGTACAAGGAAGGGATGTGGGATCCATGTGGTGGCTGTTCTTGGCTAGATGCTTATTCCATGGTTGTCTGTGCTTTCAGCAAACAGGACTTGACCTTCCTGATCCCTTGGCATTCTCTGTCCTTACACACTCCCCAAACTATTCGTGTATTGAGTAATCTGGGATGTTTGGAAGTGTTCTGGCCTTTACAAACAAAGCAGCTGATGTTGTGATCACATTCCACCCTCAAATGCTGTCCTGTGGTGCTTTTTGTACTTGGAGAAGGAGAACTTCTGCTTGATGTTGATGCCTATTCTGCTGCTTGGTTGATCTGCAGCATTGTCAGAATCACAGAAACACAGAGGGGTTGGGTTTGGAAGGGACCTTAGAGCTCATCCACCCCCTGCCATGGGCAGGGAACCTCCCACCAGAGCAAGTTTTTATATTGTGTATGTTGCTGTTTCCCAGTAGTCCCAGAATGGAATCCCAGAATGTCCTGAGCTGGAGGGACCCCCAGGGATCCCCCAGTGCCCCCCTGCTCTGCCCAGATCCCCCAACAAGCCCAGCCTGGGCATCCCTGGATGCTCCTGGAGCTCTGGCAGCCTCGGGGCCGTGCCCATTCCCTGGGGAGCCTGGGCAGTGCCAGCAGCCTCTGGGGAAAGAAGAGCCTTGCCCTAAAAGCCAACCTAAATCCCTGCTGGGCCAGCTGCAGCCGCTCCCTGCTGCTGTCCCTGTGGCAGGAGCAGAGCCCGGAGCTGTCCCTGCGCTGCCCCTCGGGAGGAGCTGCAGCCCCGGGGAGCTCTGACCTCAGGCTCCTCCAGGCTGAACCGACCCAGTGACCTCGTGGGGCCCCTCCAGACCCTTCCCCATCCCCGTCTCCCTCCTTTGGACACTTTCCAACAGCTTCTGATCTTTTCTTGAGCCCCCCAGAGCTGTCCCCAGCACTGGAGGTGAGTCTGCCCTACTGCAGGGTGGGATTAGAGTATCCAGCTTTTGGGATCTCCCTGAGGAGCTGGGACAGCTCTGCTGCTGTGTCAGGCCCTGCAGCTGAACAGTGAGGGACACGTGCAGCTCCTCATAATCCAATCTGTAGTTTATCTGAATTTTGCTGCTTTGCTACTTGTGAATTCCTAAAGTCCCTGATTGTGCTGTGTGCTGTCTCAGGGTATTTTCTGGAACATAAGGAGCTCACAGGAGGCTGCAGTTGTTGCATAATGCTCAGAGCTGAGCTGGGCACTGCAGAGCCCCATCAGGGTCTGGCAGGTGGAAAGTGGGACAGCCCAAAGCCGTGGCAGTGCTGTCAATCCTGGCTTTTTGGTACCAAAATCAAAACTTTTCTTGGAATTGTGGGATCACAGAATGACTTGCATTGGGACGGACTTTGAAGCCCATCCCATCCCAGCCCTGCCATGGCAGGGACACCTCCCATTGTCCCAGCTGCTCCCAATGTCCAGCCTGGCCTTGGGCACTGCCAGGGATGGGGAGTCCAGGACACCCCTGGGGCTCATTCTGGTGTTCCGGGATCAGGGGACATTTCTTCTTAGCATTGAGTGATGTCATTTGCAATCCTCCATGACAAATTGAAGCTGTCAGCTTCTTGATTCCTCAAAAGCCTGCAATTCCAGAGAATTGCAGTGCTCAGAGAGGTTCAGGGTTTGTGGGAAAGATAGGATGTTGATACTCAGGTTTTGTTTCACCTTGTGCTGTTGAGGGTGTTTTCACTGCTTGAGCTTGGAGGTCAAGGCTTCAAAAAATGTGTCAGGTGGCACTTCATGCTCTGGAAAGGTCAAGGGTCCTCCAGGAAATACATTTATAGGATTCTCCAAAGGAGGAGGATCTCCTGCAGGAACCCCTGTAACACAGCAGTTACACAGTTCACAACCTTCCAGCCATGTGCTGAGTGTGAGAGAGATCAGAATCCTTTTCCAAGAGTTCGAGTGGAGAGATCGAGGACTCGGGGATTCTCATCCCACAGGGCTTGTGTTTCATGGCTTTTGGCCAGAATATATTCCTTTAAAAAGAGTCTTTGTTTTCTCTTCCTGTAAATACTTGTCTTTCTATTCCTGACCTAAGTTACTAATCATTAAGACTGTTATTAATATTATTAATTAACTGTTAGTGGAGGGTGCAGCTGGGATGGGGATCTGGCTCTGCTGCCAGGGAACAGGGACAGGAGGAGAGGGAACGGCCTCAGGCTGGGCCAGGGGAGGCTCAGGGTGGACAGCAGCAGGAATTTGCCCATGGAAAGGGAGCTCAGGCCTTGGCAGGGGCTGCCCAGGGAGCTTTGCAGTGCCCATCCCTGGAGGTGCCCAAGGAAGGGCTGGACGTGGCACTCAGGGCTCTGGGCTGGGGACAAGGTGGGCATCGGGCACAGCTGGGACTCCATGGGCTGCGAGGGCTTTTCCAGCACCAGGGATCCTGGGATTCTGTGTTACATTTATTAAAATCAGAATTAAACATTTAATAAGTGCTTGTTTGAACATTTCCTCAAATTTATCCTTGTCTCTCTGCCCTCAGTTTTGGGTAATTCCAAGGCAGGCTCAATATTCAATGGGAATCAGATCAATTTGATATATCCACTCTTCTGGACTGGCAGAGAATGTTTGGGATATCACACGGACACTGCCTGGCTAAGAGCAATAATACAGCAGCAGGGAAATAAGCAATAATCCATCATTCAGTGAGGGAAAAAGTAAAGCAGAAATGAAAATGAGAGGTCTCATGGCTGAAGTTGTCCCTCACTCAGCTTTGTGCCTGTTTCTGTTCTTGTTTTCCCTGCCTGGTCCAGGAGTCCCAGCAGATGCTGGGCAGGCTGATTCCAGAGAAGCAGCTCCTGAATGATCAGCTCAAGCAAGTCCAGCAGAACAGTTTGCACAGTGAGTAGATTTTGGGGCATGCCTGAGCTGGGGCAGGATACCTTCCCTCCCTGTGGCATCCCCTGGAATTGCTCTTTGTGTCTTGCAAGGTGCAAATGGGAAAATGTTGCTTTCTATGACCTAAACTGTTCCATGGAAGAAAATCCTGACTTGACAATGTGTTCTAAACCAGGGGATTCCCTTCTCACCATCAAAAGAGCCTTGGAAGCCAAGGAACTGGCACGGCAGCAGCTCCGGGACCAGCTGGATGAGGTGGAGAAAGAAACCAGATCTAAACTGCAGGAAATTGATATTTTCAATAATCAGCTGAAGGTAACTCAGGACTCATTAAGCCTTTCTGAATGTTCAGTTGATTATTTTCTAACCTGATTGTGGGGGAAAGAAATGAACTGGAATGATTAAGAATGTCACTTTGGGGGGTTCTGAAATGCATTTGTTGAGGATTTTATTTAATTTTTATTTTGTTTTTAAGAAAATGCTGCTCAGCTTTCAAACTCAGGGTTTGAATCAATTTAATCTGCAGAGTCTCTTCAGGAGGAAATTTGAACCCTGATTCCAAATCTGTGATTGCAAAAATGAAATAACCAATTTCTGTTCTTTTGCATGCAAGAAGTGCAGGGCAGGGTCAGTGAATCTGCTGGAATCAGGAGTTGAAATTGAAATCTTGAACAAAAGAGACTTGATTTTCTACTGCCCCCCAGAATGGTTATCTGTCCTTGTGCTCCTGCTTATCCCTGAGTGCAGCTGCCTGTGTTTTGTGGTTTCATGCTTTACTGCTCAGTCTTTGTTAAAACTGGGATTTTTTGGTGTATTTCTGAACCAGCAATGTCAGGGTTCTGCAGAGAGAAGCTGGAAATCAGTCTGTAGTTACAAACTTCCAGTGGCATTCATTTTTTCATAAAATATTCCAATCCTCAAGTACTTTATCTGCTAATTCCGCTGGTGGGTTCTCCTGAAAGCTGACCAAAAATGCTCAATTTCCTGCAAGGTGTCACAAATTGTGCTTCAAGTATTCAGCAGGAAAGTCACTGTGACAGAGACATTGATGGAGTTGTTACGAAAGTTGATCAACTGGGATTAAATAAATCAATTTAGGATGGAAGGTGGGGTTGAATATAAGCAAGAAATAGATTGTTTAAATATGAGTTATTAATAATTACAGGAAAAATTAAAAGTGAGGCCCTGTTTTAAGGTTCAGTTGAAGATGACTCTCCCAGTCTGAGCCAGGGAGGATGGAAGGGGAGAATCTTCGCAGAGTCAGACACAGGACAAACAAAATGGGCACAGTTTATTTTTCAAAGAAATAGAATGGTTTAATCCTTGCTCAGTTAATCCTTGATGTTTAAACCTCACTTAATTTTTTCTTCATGTGTGGTTTTTGGATAGCATGTTGTACTTCTTGGGTATTAGTTTTTTCAATGAAGTCCTTTAAAAGTGATAAATTGGAGCAAAGGATAATTCTAAAATTAGTGTCTGTATTTGGTTTGATCATAAATTACCTAAACATAAATAGGAAAGGGGTGAACAGTCTTGGTATTGTGACAACAGCAGAAAAATCCCCCAGAACCAACAAACCAATCACCCAAAATTCAATCTTTTAAATATTGAAGGATTGCACTTCACAAGCTGGTGATAATTAAAAATTGAAGTTGCCCATTAAGCACAGATTTATCAGCATGTGCCAGGAATCCAGGAATGCCTTGACTAAAGGTAAAAGATTTTGCAGTTTAATGGGAAAATTAGTTTCAATCAATGGATAAGGAGTTGTGGAGACATTCTTTGTAAGGAGTAGAAGGGATCTTTTGAGGAGATTGTGGGACTCCTCTGCCAGGAGCAGATCAGGTGCAGTTTGGGGGATTTCTGCCTTGCTCAGCTTCCTTGGCTTTCTTGGAGGGGCAGTCACAGAATGCCAGAGTGCTCAGGGTGGGAAGGGACCTTCAGGATCACCCAGTGCCACCCCAAACCCTGTCCCCAAGGGCCACATCCAGGACACCTCCAGGGATGGGCACTGCAAAGCTCCCTGGGCAGCCCCTGCCAAGGCCTGAGCTCCCTTTCCATGGGCAAATTCCTGCTGCTGTCCACCCTGAGCCTCCCCTGGCCCAGCCTGAGGCCGTTCCCTCTCCTCCTGTCCCTGTTCCCTGGCAGCAGAGTTGAAGAAATGAAACCTCTGGACTCTTTAAAAAATCTCATCCTAGAGATCTAATAATTAATATTGGTACAGGTATCAATAAAATGGAACTGGTCACTTGTTTATTTTAGGATCATGGAATGGCCTGGGTTGGAGGGACCTCAGAGCTCATTTCATTCCCAGCCCTGCCATGGCAGGGACACCTCCCACTGTCCCAGGAGCTCCCAATGTCCAGCCTGGCCTTGGGCACTGCCAGGGATCCAGGGGCAGCCCCAGCTGCTCTGGCAATTCCATCCCAGCCCCTGCCCACCCTGCCAGGGAACAATTCCTGCCCCAGATCCCTGGATTTAAACTGACCCTCCAAGCTTAAGGCTTGATGTGACTCCAGTCTTCATGGACCAAATTCCCATTTCCTATAACATAGAAGAATCCAGAGTTTCTTGCTGCTGCTCCTGCCCAAGAGCACACAAGGAACGAGTTCATGTCTCTGAAACAGTTTTGCTGAGAATTTTTTCCCAGTTCCTGGCAGAGGCAGCGAGGCCCCAGTGGGCTGAAGCTTTCCCAGAGCTCTGCATGCCCTGCTCAGGCTGGACCCACTGAGGGAGCAGCCTCCTGGGCTGGGTCAGTGTTTGTGCCAGCACCAAAACAAAACCAGAGAGTTTAGCATTGGATTTTTATCTAATCCTTGTGCCTGCATCAGGAGTGTGCCTTGAATTGCAACTTGGGCATGGTTCTAGTGAGTTATTTTTGTCTCTTGCTTATCTGGAACTTCGAGAGTTTAAGTAAATTGCCTGTTTTGGTCATGATTTTCAGAATTTTTAAAAAGCAAACACTTGGATGGGAAGAATCCCTACACATGGCTGTAATCTGTGATTCCAGGCTGGAGAGAGAGGTGGCAGCTTCTTTCCTTTGCCCAGTCCCCCCCAGGTTGGGGTGATGGGAGGAATTGGCTGCCAAGGCCAGAGCAGAGGCTTTGGGAGCTGGGGAGTGGGGCAGGAAAGGAAAAGCTTCAGGGAGCACAGAACTGCAGCCTCCTTTCCTCTGGGATCCAATTCTCTGATTGTCTCAAGGGGAGAAAATCTGATGGAAAACTTGGATTGTAATCCCTGAATATCCCAAGTCCTGTTGTCTTTCTGTCAAAAAGGCACAGAAAATTCCTTTCACAGAACACTGACCCAGCACATCAGCTTGGCCAGGAGGGAATAGTGTGTTAAAATGTCTGGGGAAAACTTAAATTATTATTAAAATGTCTCTTTAAATCCAACTTCCCTGAGAACTGACTCTCTTTTTAATGATGCTGTGCTCAGTTTTCATTGAATTTAAAACTGAGGAGCATTAATGAAGTAAAACTGAGACCTGGGCCACAAGGATCAGCTTCCCTTTTGAAAGTTTCATCCCTGTATCCAGTGGGATTGAATCACTTCCATTTACTTTTTTGTCTCTTACACAACTTTCTCATTTGGGTCAGTGCATGAGGAGTTTTACATGAAAACTTCCTATGGTTTGTAGACTGTGAATTTCTGAAAAACCACCCAAGTACTTCCAAGATGAAATGTTTCAATTTCACCTGGACTGTGTTTTCATGAAAAGATAACAGTTTTTGAAGTGAACTATTTTCAGTGAAAATCCTCAGTGCTCATAGGCAAATTTTCCTTTTTTCTCCTGTAATGCTGAGGACTTCAGATGCAGAATTCCTGGTTCTACAAAGAAATCCCAGATAAAAGTTGGATTTGTGTTAATAGGTTAATACAGAGAATGTTAATGCAGAGAACAAATTTTGAGGAAAATATTATGGTATTATTATTATTATTTATATTCTAATTTTTTCAAGCAATTGAAGAAAAATTGACTTATATGTGAATGAATACTCTGTACCACAATTCATCTCAAAGATATTCCTTAAGGATTTCAGTCTCCTGCGTATAAACCAGCCCTGAAGGTTCTTTAGTAAATCAGCATTAATTGGCAAATGAAACTGATTTAGAGTGAGAGCTGAGAGGGCAGATTTGTGTATGGAATTTAATAAATGAATTCCATAAACCAGCAAACAAACCAGAAGTGACTGTTCAGATTAAGCTTTGTCCATTTTTCAGAGTCCCATTTAAAGGTTTTCTGGTCTCCTAACCCTTTAATGGATAAAAATAGGAAAACAGGAGGTGGTTCCTAGACCCTGGGAATGAGCCTGAAATATCTGCATTTGGCAGGAGTGTGAGTTTGGGGGATCCCCAAGCACTGCCAGGTGTTGTCCCCTCACAGGGAACTCTCTGGGGCCTCAGTTCTGATTCACAGGGTGGATGTTTACACCTCTTTGCCTTTTTGTAATCCAGGAGCTGAGAGAAATCCATAACAAACAGCAGCTCCAGAAGCAGAAGAGCTTGGAAGCTGAGAGGTTGAAACAGAAGGAACAGGAAAGGAAGACAGTGGAGCTGGAAAAGCAAAAAGAAGCTCAGAGGTAACAAACTGCTTTAATGGAGCCCTAAATGTAACACCTCCCCTGGCATCTCCTGGAAAATATTCCTGTCTGCCCAAAACTTGCAGGGATGCAGATGGGGTTTGTGTCCTCTAGTGCTTGGGAAGTGGATTGGTTGGACACCAGAGGGAATTTGCCCATGGAAAGGGAGCTCAGGCCTTGGCAGGGGCTGCCCAGGGAGCTTTGCAGTGCCCATCCCTGGAGGTGCCCAAGGAAGGGCTGGACGTGGCACTCAGGGCTCTGGGCTGGGGACAAGGTGGGCATCGGGCACAGCTGGGACTCCCTGGGCTGCGAGGGCTTTTCCAACACCAGGGATCCTGGGATTCCATGAATTAGTTTGGTTTTTTTTTCCTGGCGCTGTTTTTGATCAAAAATTCACAGTGTCCTTGGACAAAGTCTGTTCTTTGTATCACACCAAGTGTGTGAGGAGCAGCTGCTTCTCAGGCCTTTGTCTCGAATTCTGGAGAAATTCCAGGGGTGGAATAGGCCATGGAACAGACTGGAGTACACTGGGCATCCTTCAGATCTTCAGAGTTAACTTTACTGGGGCAAATTGTTTCCAGCAGAGAATATTTCTTCATTTCTTGATGTCTTGTCCTCTGGTGGAGGGAAAGGACTTGTTAATTCTGGTGGCTGGGAATGGGAAATATTCCAAATAACTCTCTGGAGTGCTGTGTAAAACTTGCAAATCCTTCTCCTCCTTGCCCCTCAGCATGAGGATAAGGATGGCCACATGTTCTGATTCCTGCTTTTCTCTTTCTGAATTGGATGTTTGGAGTCTTACCTTGGGTTGGATCTCCCTTCCAACCCAAACCATTCCACGAGTTTAGGATTTTTGGGAATTATCCCCAGCGTTAGGAGATGCTGAGGAGTGGTTGATAACTCACCAAAACATGGAAAACCCTAAAGAGGACACTTGGTGCTGGAGATGACCCAAAAGCTTTGGAGGTTTTGGTTTGAGCGGCTCTAACCCCCATTGTCCCCCAGGCGGGTCCAGGACAAACCGCGGCCAGAGCGGGGACAGCCGGAGGAAGAAGCACAGTGGCAAAAAAAAATCCCAGAAGATGACAAACAAAAAAGGGAAGAACTCCCCAGGAAGAAGGAAAGTGAGGATAAGGGGAAACAGGAAATGCAGGAGAAGCTGAGTAAACTCTTCCAGCCCCACCAGGAGCCGAACAAGCCCGGCCAGGCTCCGTGGTCCAACGCAGGTAAGGTCCAACAGCAGGGAATGCTCTGGGACAGCTCAGTTCTCTTTTCTTTTCCCATTTAACACAGAACAAGGTGGTGTTCAGGGCTGCATTGTGAGTCTTGTTAAAGTAAAGAAGGCATGGATGGAGCTCCAGACTCCAGCAATGGTTCACCCCAAAGGTGTTGAGCAGAGGGGGAAGCACAGCTCTGAGACTGCAGGGCAAGGGCAGGGGGGGAATCTCAGCTGGAAGGGGCTGGATGCAAGATGTCAAAAACTGTTCCTGTAGCTTTTATTTTGGTGGGGGATACATGCCTTGGGATTTTTCAGAGTAAGAACAATAATAATAAAATAATAATAATAATAATAAAATAATACATAATTTGGTCACCCTTCTCCTTTCCTGCCTTCCTTTGCTCACTGAACCATTGACCTGAAATCTAAGATTTAATCCCCCCTTTTCTGCTCTCCACACAGCCACTTTCAGCTGAGAGCTTTTTCTGTGCATTGTATCCTGATTTTTGTCTGTGTTGGGAATCCTGCTTCCCTCTTAAGTGCCTTGGATACACACAAGAACTGTTTGGGAACATAAATCTGGTTTAAATATTTGTCCAAAGGATTGCATCACTTTTATGACTAAATAAAATCAATAAAAGTCCCAGTTCCTGGCAGTGCCCGAGGCCAGGTTGGACACCCTGGGACAGGGGAAGGTGTCCCTGACATGGCAGGGCTGGCACTGGAGGGGCTTTGAGACCCGTCCCAACCCAGGCCATTCTGTGTTCCTGTGATTTCCCTGTTGTTTTAGAGGAGAAAAATAATAAGAAAATTTTATTTAAATAATCAATTTTTATATTTCCCTTGTGCAAAAAGAGAATAAGGTACTTCAGCAGACCCTGCCAGGTTTGGTGATTCTTGTCTCCCATTTTCCAAGTGTTCAAAATTCAGGTGGTTTGATTTCTTCTCTCTGTATCTGTGTGTTTGTTTCCTTTGCTCAGAGAAAGCTCCTCTAACCATTTCTGCTCAGGAGGATGTAAAAATAGTGTATTATAGAGCTCTGTATCCTTTTGAATCCAGAAGCCACGATGAGATCACCATCCAGCCTGGAGACATCGTCATGGTAAGCAGGGATTGGGATGTTCCTTGGGAAAACCCTTCAGCTTCTGCCATGAGTGATTTCAATTTTATATTGCAAGGAAGGAAACTTCCAATCCCAGAAAACTGTTTGCAGGTGTGTTGATAGAGAATAATTTCCAATTTTTCAGGGATGTGGTCAGTGTGTTGTGTCCAACTCCAACGCAAGGTTTGCTTTTGTCTCTCTAAATTATAATTCCCTGATTAATGGCTGCAGGGATTAAGTGGATATTAATACCAATTAATCATTGCTGTGTTCTTATCATGCAGAATGAAAATCCCTGGGGGAATTCTTAAATATTGTTCACTGGGGGAAGTGTATTCCCAACAGGGTTCTACCCAACAAAACTGATTTTAAGAGCTTTTACATTTTAGCTCAGTTCAGTAACAGTGAGTTTTGGAAAAATCCACATTGTAGACTCCCCTAAATTGTAATGGTTATTGTTTTTAGAAAACCTGTTCTGGGGAATTGAACCTTTTGGGGTTGAGTTTTTTCCTTATTGGGTGTTTGTGACCTTGGAATGGGCTTCTGGAAAATCCAAAGTGAATCCTGGCTCAGGAGTGAGGATACAAGAGGTTGTAAAGCTGCAGCAGGAAATGGTGTTGGAGAGGAGACTCTGGAGGCTGCTGGGAAATGCTGGGATGCTTTGTTTTCCTGGGAAATGGGGGGTCCCTGGGTCCACAGGTCATTCTGTGGGCAGGAGTGATCACTGTTAGGGAGACTTGGTGGGAAAATAACAATTTTCCCAAAAGTTGTGATTTTAAGAAGCATTTTACACATTTTTAAATAGAGATTTGCAGTGAAAATAACCTTTTTATTCTCTCAAAATACATGGTTCTAGGCAGTTCTGCACATATTTATCCCTGTCATTGCAGGGAAAATAACATTTTTCCTCAAATATGTGATTCTGAGGAGCACTGAAATCATTTTTAAATAGATATTTGCAGGGAAATAACATTTTTCCCAAAACACACAGTTCTAAAGAGCACTGAAATATTTTTTAAACAGAGATTTGCAGGGAAATAAGATTTTCCCTGAGAATATGTAATTCTAAGGAGCACTACACATATCTTAAATAAAGACTTTGAGACCATCCAGCTGTTGTTATCTGTTGCTCATGGACTCGATTTTAACCCCCTCAGCCCCAGTAGGGTCACTCCTCTCTTTTGCCTTTATTGAAGTTATTTTGACCATAATTAAAGCAGGTTCCTGGGGGCTCTGCTGCCCTGCAGGAAGGGTTTAAAGGGCTGCTGTGCTCAGGGCTGAGCTGTAACCTTGCCTTGCTTTGCATCCCTGCTTCCCCTGGAGGTGAGAAGGGAGTGGGTAAGTGCTGCCAGGGTGGTTTGAACCCACCAGGGGTCAAATTAACAAACCCCAGCTCGTTAACAAAAGTAATTCACACCCCCTGGACCAAGGGTTTGCTTTTGATGCTGCCTTTGGCTCCTGCCTCAGCCCTCCGTGTTTGTCCTGTGGTTCCAAAGGTCCCAGCAGTGCCTTTCCTTGGAAAACAGCAATTTGCAAGCTCAGATCAAGGTGAGGCTGCCTGGAGACATCAGTGGAGCTGAACTCCAGCTGGGAGCTTCCTGTCCCACCAAATCCCTGTTCCCTGGATACCTGTCCTCTCACAAATGGAGCTTTCCCACACTGGAACCCCAATTCTGACCCATTTTGGACCAGTGGGCAGGAGGTGCCACAGAGCCCAAGGCTGGATCCCAGTCCTGAGCTGGGATCCTGAACTGGGATCCTGAGCTGAGATCCGGGGCTGGGATCCTGGGCTGGGATCTGGGCTGGGATCTGGGCTGGGATCTGGGCTGGGATCTGGGCTGGGATCTGGGCTGGGATCTGGGCTGGGATCTGGGCTGGGATCTGGGCTGGGATCTGGGCTGGGATCTGGGCTGGGATCTGGGCTGGGATCTGGGCTGGGATCTGGGCTGGGATCTGGGCTGGGATCTGGGCTGGGATCTGGGCTGGGATCTGGGCTGGGATCTGGGCTGGGATCTGGGCTGGGATCTGGGCTGGGATCTGGGCTGGGATCTGGGCTGGGATCTGGGCTGGGATCTGGGCTGGGATCTGGGCTGGGATCTGGGCTGGGATCTGGGCTGGGATCTGGGCTGGGATCTGGGCTGGGATCCTGAGCTGGGATCTGGGCTGGAATGGGACTGCAGAGCTCATTCTGTCACAGGAGCTGGGCCTTTACCAGAGCTTGGGAATGATCTTTCCAAGAGTGTCAACACTTGATCCTGGGCAGAACCCTGAGCCCAGGCTGAGGGAACCAGGGAGCAGGAGGAGGAGGAGGAGGATTTATCCAGAAAGGGAAAGGATTTGCCATCTGGGGAGGGCTCTGCTCTGCCTGACCGCTGGGAAGAGCCTGTGGCACCACTGGGTCTGGTGCCATGGATTACACAATTGCTCTGGCTTTTTAATTCTGCCACTTTTGAATTATTTTAGCCTTTCAATGTACTTTCAATTTCTTCCACTGTAAGTTTAGATTGATTTTAATCCTGGCTATAGCTCAACCAAGCTTTTGGGCAGGAATAGATATTTTTCCCTGAAAAATCTACAATGAATTCTAATGGTAGTTATTGATCGTTGCAGTTGGAATCAATCTTCTTTGTGATCCACAGAATTCAGGAGTTGTCAGCTGTGGGTCTGAAGTACAGCTGAATAAATGAAAACAACCTCCCACACACTGTAATTCACTATTTAGGTGTACATTTAAAGTCTGGTTGTATTTTGGAAAAAAATAATCTGGGATTGTTTTTGGGATTTGTGGATGGTGGGTGTAAAAATTTAAGGAAATTGAAACAATATAACTTTAAAAAGATTCAAAGGAATGTATTTAAAATTTCAGTGCAGTGCTGCAAAACCAGATGTGAGTTGTATTTTAGATGAAAAAGAAACCAGAGCTGATATGAATCATGAAGTTTAAATTATCCTTCAAAGTATCTTTTCATGAGTGTGCATAGAGAACTCAATTATGTTGAATAAGCAGAGATCTGAGGATCCTCATAGGCAGTTTTAGAATTATTACAGCTTCAAATCCTCTCTTGAAGAGGCATTAATTGGAAGGGTCTAAAACCTTTTGGTTGTTTTTTTTTTTTCCCCCTTATGCCTGAAGAATCCCAGTGGTTTCTGTAAGCCCATGGATCACCTCCCAGATGCTCTTTTTAGAGCATCTCCCCAGCCCAGATTTGCCTTTGCAGTGCTGTTTGTTCCTTCTGTGTGTGCTGATTGCAGTTCCTGAGCCTGGCTGGGGTGACTGATCCCTGTGTGGATGATTCAACCTCGCTGCTTTAATTCCTTTTTCCCCCATCCACCCTCAGCTGTGCCCTTCCCTCTCCCGTCCTGCTGCTTCCCCATCTCTGCTGCAGTGGAAATTTTGCTCTGCACTGCAGGAAAAGCTCATGGAAGCGGTCAAGCACGAAGTGCCTTTATTTGTGGGATTGCCAAGGGCTGAGAGACAGGAGGGGGACCCAAAAAAAGCAGGAATAAGGGATTGGTTTGCACCGAAGGGGAGGGTGGATGCAAATTCCAGAGGGGAGTCAACAAATGGCCCGAGGCAAAGGAATTTGTCAGCACCTCCTCTGAGGAGTCCAGGGATTGGGATCCATCCCTGCCCTGGGCTGCCCCAGCCAGGGGATCAGGAAAGGGATTGGGATTGTGCCCTGAGCCCCCTGAGGTGAGACCCCACCTGCAGAGCTGCCCCAGCCCTGGGCCCAGCCCAGGGAGCAGCTGGAGCTGCTGGAGAGAACCCAGAGGAGGCTCCAGGATGAGCAGAGGGATGGAGCAGCTCTGCTGGCAGGAAAGGCTGGCCCAGCTGCCATTGTTCAGCCTGGCCAGGAGAAGCTTTGGGCTGAGCTCAGGGTGGCCTTGCAGGGCCTGAAGGAGCCCCAGGAAAGCTGGAGAGAGACAATTGCCAAGGGCTGCAGGGCCAGGAGCCAGGGAATGGCTGCCAGTGGCAGAGGGCAGGGCTGGATCTTGGGATCTTGGGCAGGAATTGTTCCCTGGCAGGGTGGGCAGGGGCTGGGATGGAATTGCCAGAGCAGCTGGGGCTGCCCCTGGATCCCTGGCAGTGCCCAAGGCCAGGCTGGACATTGGGAGCTCCTGGGACAGTGGGAGGTGGCCCTGCCATGGCAGGGCTGGATCAGGACAGGTTTTAGCGTCCCTTCTGACCCAAACCATTCCATGGTTCTGTGATTTCAGTGTGAAAAAAAAGAAAAAACAGTTGTCAAGGCCTCTTGCATTGCAAAAAGTGTGGAGGACATGGGTTGTTTTCTATAAAATTTCCATTTGCAGGGTGTATTTATTAACTCTCTGACTTCCTGTGTCTGCAGGTGGATGAAAGCCAGACTGGAGAGCCAGGGTGGCTTGGTGGAGAGCTGAAGGGGAAAACTGGATGGTTCCCTGCGAACTACGCAGAGAAAATTCCAGACAGTGAAGTTCCAACCTCTGCCAAGCCCGCGGCCGAGCCCTCTGCAGCTCCCAAAGTGTCTGTGCAGGAAAGCTCCACTGCCCTGGCAGCTCCTGCCCCTCCAGAGGCTCCTGCAGCAGCCAACAACTGGGCAGACTTCAGCTCCACGTAGGTTTGGGTGCTGCTGGTCCCCTCGGTGTGTGGAGCCCTCTGGAACTGGCTCTGAACACAGGAGCCAGAGTGCCAACTGAAAATCCCTTCTGGGAAGTGAAAGATGCTTTCTGTAGGGATCAGTTGGAAGTGCAGCCCTGCAGGATGTGAGGCTGCTCCCATCACAGCTGGGCACAGCAGGAGCAGGAGGCATCCCCAAGTGTGGATGTGGGCACAGGGGCAATGCCAAGGTGTTCACTTCCCTTGGAATCACAGAATCCCAGACTGGTTTGGGCTGGGAGGGATCCCAAATCCCACCCATTCCCAGCCCTGCCATGGCAGGGACACCTCCCACTGTCCCAGGAGCTCCCAATGTCCAGCCTGGCCTTGGGCACTGCCAGGGATCCAGGGGCAGCCCCAGCTGCTCTGGCAATTCCATCCCAGCCCCTGCCCACCCTGCCAGGGAACATCCTCATCTCCTCATCTTCCACTTAAATTTCCTCTCCCTCAGTGGGAACCCATTCCCCCTTGCCCTGCCACTCCCGTTCCTAATGAACAATCCCTCTCCAGCTCTCCTGGAGCCCTCCAGGTACTGGGACCTCCTAAACCCCTTTCTCCTACATTAGTTGCCACCAAGCCTTACTGAAGGCTTCCAACTTAGTGTTCTGTATAATGCTGATGGCAGAGATGACATGAAAAGCTGATTTAATTCCTGATCACATCATTAGTAAAACTGAGGGAATTTCAGTGCCTGCCCTTCCCTGGATGTCTTAACTCAATACACTGGGCAGTTTCATCAACTGCAATTCATTGTCTGTCAAATTTATATTTATAAACTATTATCTCAATAGCAGGCCCTGGCACAGGGTGCCCAGAGCAGCTGGGGCTGCCCCTGGATCCCTGGCAGTGCCCAAGGCCAGGCTGGACATTGGGAGCTCCTGGGACAGTGGGAGGTGTCCCTGCCATGGCATGGAGGACACTGGGTGGATTTTAAGGTCCAAACCCAAAGCATTCCATGATTCTGTGTCTAAAGGAAAGGGATGGGAGAGGTCAGTGATGTGCAGGGGGGAAAATTTCAAACCAGTTTTAGGAAGAATGATGAATTATTTTTATTTCTCTTTCCACTGCACTGCTTGAACTTCTGTTTGTTGGGACACAGCTAAGAAGTGAAATAAAAACCTGTCCTTCAGTGGCAAGGACAAGGAGCTCAGTTTGGGGGTTGCCTCTGAAGGTAAAGCTGTGGTGGATCAGTGTTCAGTTGCACTGCTGCACCTGGAGTTAAGGTGCTCATGGAGAAGAAATCAATGTAGAATGTTGAAATATTTGTTCTGTGGAAGTTTTTTTTTGTTCCTCCTGTTCAAAACAGTAGGAATTACATTGTTCTTTTCTTTTTCTTTCCAGCTGGCCAACAAACACCAGTGAGAAGCCAGAGAGTGATAACTGGGATGCCTGGGCAGCTCAGCCTTCCCTGACCGTGCCCAGCGCGGGGCAGCTCCGGCAGCGCTCGGCCTTCACTCCTGCCACCGTCACAGGCTCGTCCCCCTCGCCTGTCCTGGGCCAGGTGAGCTCCTGGGCTCCCCCAAATGTTCTGAGCCAGCACAAAGACTTGGAGAGCCAAGTGTGAACCTTGTCTGTGCACTGAAACACTCACCTGGCATAGGGGAGCACCTGCAGAGCTGCCCCAGCCCTGCGACCAGCCCAGGGAGCAGCTGGAGCTGCTGGAGAGAGCCCAGAGGAGGCTCCAGGATGAGCAGAGGGATGGAGCAGCTCTGCTGGCAGGAAAGGCTGGCCCAGCTGCCATTGTTCAGCCTGGCCAGGAGAAGCTTTGGGCTGAGCTCAGGGTGGCCTTGCAGGGCCTGAAGGAGCCCCAGGAAAGCTGGAGAGAGACAATTGCCAAGGGCTGCAGGGCCAGGAGCCAGGGAATGGCTGCCAGTGGCAGAGGGCAGGGCTGGATCTTGGGATCTTGGGCAGGAATTGTTCCCTGGCAGGGTGGGCAGGGGCTGGGATGGAATTGCCAGAGCAGCTGGGGCTGCCCCTGGATCCCTGGCAGTGCCCAAGGCCAGGCTGGACATTGGGAGCTCCTGGGACAGTGGGAGGTGTCCCTGCCATGGCAGGGCTGGGATGGGTGGGCACTGAGGCCCCTCCCAATCCGGGCCATTCCATGGATCTTTGATCCCTTGGCAGCATCTGGGGCAGGATTTAACACAAATCAGTTTCTGGTTTGCCTGTCTGGGATGAGTTTTTTAGATTTTGCTGGTCCAGGTTTGGGTCACTTCCTTGGGGCTTTCTTGACTCCCATGACAGCTTTCACTCCCAGGTGGGTTAAGTGGAATAGCAAAGGCAAAACTTCCCAGCTGAGTTCTGTCCCTCTGTTCAGGCATTTCCTTTCACTCACTGGAACAACAAACTGTTCTTGGGAGCTCATGTGTTCTGGGAAGTGCTAAATATCTACCTCAGAGCAAAAAAAAAATTGGAATGTGCCATGAATAATGTGCAGCAAAGCATCATTTCCATAAAATGGACTGTAAGTCCTGCCAAAGCAGCTTCATTTTGGGTTTATTACATATGCATCTTAAGTAAAATTAATTAATTTAATCTTGCATTGCATTGATGGTGTGTTAACTGACAGAAATGGAGGAGGACTGTAAACATTTCTGGAATTACTTTGGAAGTTTAACAGCTGCTTTAGTTGAGAGAGAGTGTATTTGTTGCTGTCCCAGCAGCCTAGGGACGTAATTCCTTAAGCAGCTTTCTTGCTGGAGGTGCAGCACAAGTGATTCCTCTGTGTTCCTTTCTGAAGGGTGAAAAAGTGGAGGGGCTTCAAGCACAAGCTCTGTATCCTTGGAGAGCAAAGAAGGACAACCACCTGAACTTCAACAAGAACGATGTGATCACAGTGCTGGAGCAGCAGGACATGTGGTGGTTTGGGGAGGTGCAGGGACAGAAGGGCTGGTTTCCCAAATCCTACGTCAAGCTCATTTCAGGCCCCATTAGGAAATCCACGAGGTATTTTGTTTGCTTTTCCTGTCCTTTATTCTGTGCTGGGGTAGAAGGAAATAGGAAGAGCTGCACACTTGAATTTTGAAGTTGTACCCTGTAAAAGGGGTCTTGTTTTCACCTGGAGGGTTTTGACTTCCAATCCTGAAAATTTGTGTCAGCGTTAAAAAAACCGATCTCACTTCTCCTTGGGTCTTGCCTCACCAACAAATTAATTAACCACCTTAATTTTATGTGACTTGAAACTGAAAAATCAGTGTATTGACTTTCTGAAGTACAGCTCTGTAAGTCAGAGCTCCTCTCTGCCCAAAATTAAAATGTATTCTTCAAATCTAAATTGCTTCTCATTATTCTTGCAGGATTAAACATTTAAAATCTCATTTTTTTTGTAATGTGAAGGCAACATTAGCCTTAGGAGTAAAAATGAGAATGATTTTATATAATTTTTTTCCTGAGGAAAAAGAGGAGATGCAGAAAATTCTGTATTTAAGACAGTTACTTAAATGTGACCATGACAGGCCACTGGATTCAAAGCTTTATTTTGCACATTTACTGTCTCTTCTTTTAAAACCCAGGGAGTTGCTTGGGGGTGCAATGTGCATTTTCCAGTTTGAAATATAATAATAATTATTCTGAAGAGATTGAATTTCTTAAATAACCATTATTTTCTTCTAAAGCATGGATTCTGGTTCCTCAGAAAGTCCTGCTAGTCTGAAAAGAGTAGCATCCCCAGCAGCCAAGGCAGCGATGTCAGGGGAAGGTGAGTCCTGGGTGGCCCTGGCAGCCTCTTACTCTGGCATTGAACACAAGAACTCTGCTTTCTGCCAAAACCAGGATTGTGCTGTTCAAGTGGTGTTAAAATCCAGATGCAAATCTAGATTATTATTATTATTATTATTATTATTATTATTATTATTATTATTATTATTATTATTATTATTATTATTATTTATTGTCATAATCATCATCATTATCATTATCATCATTATTACTATTATTATAATTATTACTATTATCATTATCATCATTATTACTATTATTACTACTATTATTACTATTACTATTATTACTATTATTACAGTTTATGTATGTTGTGTTTAGAGAAGGAACAATTTCACATATCACAAAAGATATGAAAATTTCTAATATTTTTGCCATTATTCTGGTAACATTTTGTGATCTAGAAGGGTTTTTCACAGAGGGCCCAATAAGCACTTGGTGTCAGGAATTGCTAAATATTTTAATTTTCCCCAAAGCTCATTCCCAATGTTTCATTAAGCTCTTAATGAAGGCAGTGTCAGTCACTTGGAGAGCACTGGGGTCCTTATGGTCAGCTCCATGCTAAAGGTGGAGCCTGGGGCACAGACACAGAATCCACTGATATTTTAGTGAAGGGTTTTAAAAGGAGAATTCCTTCAGCTGCAGGAGAATGTCCCCACCTGAGCTGCCTTAACTCTTACTCCCCTCCAGTGCAGAGTCAGCTGTAGGTTATTAAATCACAGGCAGAGGAGATGAATTAATCTAAATGTAGGTTACAGGTGAATGTTTGTGTATCTGATACAGCACACCTCGAGTTTCTAACTGCAATTCCAGGTACAGTTTTAGGGACATTTACATTTCATTTGTGTCTGGCATGAGCAACTCAAAAGAGGGAACAGCAGAGAAAAGGGAGCTAATCAATGATTTCAGAGTACAGTAAATATTCTGTAGAATCCCAGCTGGATTGGGTTGGAAGGAACCTTCAGGATCACCTTGTTCTGGTTTTCCTCCTATTTGAGGAGAAGGAATTGTGGACATGCAGAGTCTTGTCCCATGTGGGATATCTCAGGTGTTGTGTTTGTATTAAAAAGGAACACAACTTTGGTTTAAACACTTCAAAAAAGCTGTGATTTTGAGAGACAACAAAGCAGGGATTTAACATCTTCTGTTGAGAGGGTTCACGTGCAGAAGGTGATTTTTGAGGTGTGTGGACTTTGCATCCCAAACTCTGAAAATTCCACTCATCAGCACAAACCACTGGGAAACATGTTTAATATCTAAATGAATGATTTATGTACATTTTAATTATACTGGCAAATTATATACAAACCCCCCTGAGGCAGCCTTTTGATAGATCCTACTCAGTTCTGCTAGATCTAATTTTATTCATTAAATATTGATGTTTCAATGAGTAATAAATAATTAATTTGCTTTCTGCCTAGCCCTGATATGAATGAGGTTTTGCAGAGGATCACTGGGGATCTCTCAGGAGTTTTCCATGTGCTGTATTTCCCTTTTCCAGAGTACATTGCCATGTACACCTACGAGAGCTCGGAGCAGGGAGACCTCACTTTCCAACAAGGTGACCTGATCCTGGTGACAAAGAAAGATGGTGACTGGTGGACGGGAACGCTGGGTGATAAATCAGGAGTTTTCCCATCTAATTATGTGAGACTCAAAGATTCTGAGGTAGAGAAATGTTTTCTTTGGGGTTGTAGTGGTAGCTGCAAGGCAAGGGCATTGTAGGGGAAATAAAAACACATTGCAGATTTACTGAGACTGGAAAGGAAAAACAATGACAATAACAACAAGAGTTGCATTTCACAACTTAATGTATCATAAATAAATAAATCAATCCTCATTGACTGGGGGGATCATCCATTAAAATCATGCCAGCATCAGTAGTGCACTTGGCAGTTTTTTAGACACTAATCAGAACAGCCATGATTGTTTTATTGCCCTGGTAAGTTTTTAATGCCTGAGCTGTATCCTACTGCCTTTATTTTCAAAATCCCCAAAAATCCACACAGTAATATTTCAGTCTATTACATTTTTCCCCTATCATTTCTTGCAGTCAACAACAAATTTTGCACCAAAACTTTGCTAATTACTGTATTTATTTGACAGTTTTTGACTGAATAATAGAGGTTCTGTTTCATCTCTTTTTATCTTGAAATAACTCCATAGAACATATCCTTGTTTATTTGTTTTTATTGATTTCTTTTTAGGCATTCTAAAGTGAGATATTCTCTCATTTACATGGCTTCAGAGGATAATTTATCTCCCAGTAGGAATTAGTTTAGATTAGTTGGGTACATGGCTGATCTCTTGATGAGAAGGATTCTGGTTTATATCTCTGGAATAATGGGGGGTTAAAGGCAAATCAGTAAAAAGCAGTGGATTTTGGGCAATCTGGATGGTAATGCACAAATACTCAATGAAAGACTGCAACACAGAGCCTGAGCAGAGTCACTCAAACCATTCCTGCTGCTGGAGAAGCCAGAGGGGAAAACCTGCAGTGAAATCTGCAGCTGCAGGAAACCTTTCAAGAGGAAATTTCTGCAGTGCCAAGAAATTCCAACAACATCCTCTGGGCCAGGACTAAAAACCTTGTGGTTAGAGATGTTTAATATTGCAGCTCTTGGAGAGATGGGATTGGGGCACTGTTGGCAAATCCTTGTGGAGAGCTCACAGTTCAGTTCTGAGTCCCCTTTTGTCCAAGAGCTCAGTTTGGTGTTTCTGTCTCCTCAGTTTGGCTGGGGCTGCACCAGCACCCTGCACTTCACCCAGAAGTGCTCCAAATGCTGTTTTTGCTGGTGAAAATCCCACCTTCAGCTCCTTTCTTGATGAGAGAGGGAGGATGAAGCACAGAGCTGCTGGGGTGTTGTTTTCATCCCAGGGTTCCTGTGCCTGCAGGATCTGGCTCCAAGTGGGGAATTGGGTTTTGCTCTCCAGCCTGGTCCCAGAGCCAGTTTTTGCAGAGGATTTCACAGTCATGGCTCTCTGGGCACTCAGATGTGCTGCTGTGTTTGGACAGCTTCCCAGGCCTGGAAAATGCTCTGAAAAGAGAAATAATTCCATGTGTTCTGCACTACTGACAGGCCCAAAGAAAAGCAGGGGTGATCTTTCAGCAGCAAGGGCAGAGTTTCTAGAAATGACTCAAAATTTCAATGGTATCTACAGCACAAGAATTTCTTTAATTTGTTCTTTGCTAAGCTGTGCCTATTCACCTCAGGGTGCTAAAATAAACCATTCCCTCTTCCTTGAAGCTTCAGTTTATTAAAAAAGCGGGAAAGTTTTTGTTCTTCAGAGGAACAATGGCACAATGGCCCATCCTAAGGGTTTTCCTTAGGGGGAACTGAGTGGATACAGGGTTTTATTCTGGACACTGCTGAGAATTCCCTCTGTGGGGATGGAGTTCAGGGAGGGCTTGGAAACAACAATTTCAAGACATCTGATTATAAAACTTCACATAGGGGTTCAGAAAATAATCCCTGAATGGATCCAGTTGGGATTTGAAGGGTCCTGTACAACACAATTGGCAAGGCCTTGCTGGGGTTTATTAAATTTCCAAAGCCAGTTCTGCTCTGCTGGCTCAGGAGACTTGATCACTTGTCACAAAATTCCCTCAGGTGCTCAGTGAGTGTCCCAGGTGTGCAGGGGGATAGAACAGGGCCTGTCCTCACTGCTGTTTTCTCTCAGCACAAGGAATAGGAAATGTTTCTCCATCTCCTGAGTGGGACAGAAATGGGGACCATCCTAAATGCTTTATTTATGAATTTAGGTATTTATTGAAGTGCTGTGGGATTTTTCCATGTGTTCCTTCTGCTTTTGCACCGAGGATTCAGAGAATCCTCAAAGACAATTCAGACTCGGTCTGGTCAAGGTGAAGTTTGTATTTTAAAATCATCTCTCTGTTTCACGGTAAAGACAATATCCCAGCCTGTTTGCTCTGTCCGTGTGCTTCTAATCCAGCAGCGTGGATGCTGACCAGGGGATGTCTGGGAGGAGGGGTTCTCTGAAGGTCCAGGCACTTGTTCTTTCCTGAGGAGGGCAGAGGCTGTTCCTCTGCCAGAAACACTTCCTGGGATCACCCTGTCAGTCCTTAGGTTCATCCTTCTCCGTGGGGCACTGGAGGCCATCTCCCCCTGTCCCAGAGCTGCAGTGGGATCTGCCCCTGAGCCCTGGGGGCTCTCCTGGCTCCCTGCTCTGGGAGCCAGCCCAGGGCTGCAGGGAGGGCTGAGATCTGGGGACATTCAGAGGAACGCAGGGAGGAGAGCAAGATTTGCTGCTCCTGTGGGGTTGTAACTGTAATAACCTGTCAGTGACAGGAAAGGAGCACTGAGACATCAAGGCAAGGCAAGGTGTATTAATAATCCATTTTATAGGGGACTCAGAACCAGCACAGGGGTTTGAATGGCCCTTTCCTCTCAGCCACAGAACTGTTCTTTAGTTACTCCTCAGATTCATTTCTGCCAGAATCCCCAAGTTTCCAAAGCATCAGTTGACAGTGAGAATATGGAGGAAGATACTGTGCTTTTCCACAGAGGATTTAGGATTCTTTGGAAGCTGTCAGGTGGTTTGATGTTGGCTCCAATTTTGTAAGGAGGATCCTGAAGGTGAAGAAGGTGAAGTTGAGGGAGGTGGAAGTGTTGAAGGCAAGAGGACATTTATGGCTCCCCAACATTTCTGGCCACAGTACAGTTTAGCTTGAAGTTGCTCTTACCCACCTCAGACCTCTTTACTGCAGGATATGAAACTGTCAGTGACCTGGGAGGGAACTGCAGGAATTATTTAGGGGGCAGGAACTGGACTGATGTCAGGTTTTGCTGGATTTCTTGTGGTTGTTCAAAGGCTTTGCTTCCCAATCCTGGGACCCTGATGTTCATCCCCCACCTCACCCTGTCTGAATGCAGGGAGTTTCTCAGGAGTATTTGTAATCCAGCTGTTTGCAGGGATGAAAACTTCTATTGTTGTTTCAGCTTCAGCTCCACAGAATTCCCATTCTGCAGATATATGGATTTGCAATTACAAATGGGATATACTTTGGAATTACAAATGGGATCTACTTTGGAATTACAAATGGGATATACTTTGGTATTTGCAGCCCATGAAAGGGAATAAAAGTTTGCCCTTCTGCATTAACAAATAATCCACTTTGTGCTTGGTATTTATTCCCTGATGTTTACTGCCATCTAAAATATTAAGGATTTCTGTAAGAACAGAATTTCCTGTGAGTTTTTGACTCCCATGCTTGTTGAGTGTGTTGAGTGAAGCTTTGTAAATAATTTTCATGTACTGGAGAAAGAAATCTGAGTGCTAAACCTGCATCTTGTTCTCCATTTCAAGGCTCCAGGAGCAGCTGGGAAAACGGGAAGCTTAGGGAAGAAACCTGGTGAGTGAAATATTGTGACAGCACCTTCTCTCTATTCTTCAAGTGTTCAATTCAGTGGCAACAAAGCCTTTCTATAAAAATAGAGTATGCTTGCTCTTGGTCATCTTGGAGTAGTTTGCATTGGTGAAAACCATTATAAGATAACTGGAAAAAATGCAGTTAATGAATAATGTAACTGTAATAAAAGGATTCACCCTCTAATCATTCTAGCGTGTTAATCACTAAATAACATGCAGCTAGAGAATAATTATCTGCTTGCTCAAAAGTGAATGTAAACTTCCTGATGGATTGCTCAGCAGAACAGGAGGAGGAATTTTTTATTAAATACAGCAGGTGCAGGCAGGAGAGTGGAAAGTTTAAACAGAGAAAATCCAAGAGCAGAGTCAGTGCTGGGTGAGGGCAAAGCCAGGGGGTTGTTGGGCTGGGAGCATGGCTGTGCTGCTGGAAAGGGCAGGGATAAATGGGATCTTGGGCAGGAATTGTTCCCTGGCAGGGTGGGCAGGGGCTGGGATGGAATTGCCAGAGCAGCTGGGGCTGCCCCTGGATCCCTGGCAGTGCCCAAGGCCAGGCTGGACATTGGGAGCTCCTGGGACAGTGGGAGGTGTCCCTGTCCTTGGCTGGGGGGCTCTGGGTGGGATTTGAGGTCCTTCCAGGCCAGGACATCCCATGACTCCATGAATTTGTGTGCTAATCCCAGATCCAGGTTTAAAACACCTTTATAACTCAGCTCCAGGCCTCTCCATCACCTGCCTGGCTCCCCCTGCCTCTCCCTGCTGACAGATCCTGAAGGAGGTCCTGCTGTAGTTGATTTCTGTGTCCTTTTCAGTGCCCTTGGATTGCTCCTCATTTGTATCTCAAATGCTTCTCTGATAATTTTTTGTGTTCCTAATGGTCCTTTCCTTCTAAATTTCCCGTCAGTCATTTGATTGTTTCCATGTTGGGCTTCAGCTCTCTCTGTACCTTCCCTGCACCAAACCTTCCCTCAGTTCCCATCCTTCCAGGGCTGATGGACTCCTCTGGCCCCAGCTGCCCTTGGAATGAATCCCTGAGGGATGAGTGACTGTCCTGGATCCCACAGGGAAGGTTCAGCAGCACCAGCCCCCTCTGAGTGTGTTTGACGTGTTCCCCTCACCCTGCACATGGCCAAGCCTGGCTTGGGGAGGGCACCAGAATTCCTGCAGCTCCTCTCAGCTCCAGCTGGATCCAAACCTTCCTTAACCCTGTGGGGACCAGAATTGTTCCCTGCCTTTCCACAAGCACTGTGGAGCAGAGGAAGCTCCAACACCTGCTTTGTGTAAATCCCTGGAATTGTGAGCTCCCGGTTCCTCTGCTGGGAGGGGCCCAGGCAAAGCAGCTGTTCTGTGAGATCCAGAGATTTCCAGAGGAATCCTGTTTGCTGCATTTGGAAAACATTCATTTTTGGGTCAGGTGGGGAAAAATTTTCTGCCAGCCTTAATTTGCACCTCTTGGTGCAAATCTTCATTATTTTGTCATTGATTTGTCTCCTCTCCTTGGGGAGCTCAGTGCAAAGATATTTTTACTGGAAAACACTGGTTTTTAAGAGTTTTACAGTTCTTATGCTTATTATTCTTACTATTATTATCACCATAGAGCTGCTGCACCTCTGATTTATTACTTTTTATTGTAATTATTCCTATTAATTAATTAATAGGAATTAAACTTGTAATTATTCCTGTAGTGCTCTGAACCTCTCATTTATTTTACAATTACCACATGTATTCATGTAAATACATAAATCCATAATAATTTTATGGAAAGAAATAACACAGAGTTATAGCAGAATTAACAGTGGATAAAATGTATTCAGTTTTTTTTCAAATTAACCTTTTCTTTCCTCCTCTGCTTCAACAGAAATTGCCCAAGTTATTGCCTCTTACACAGCAACAGGCCCAGAACAGCTGACTCTTGCTCCTGGCCAGTTGATCCTCATCAGAAAGAAGAATCCAGGTGGTTGGTGGGAAGGAGAGCTCCAAGTTAGTTCCTTTTTTTTCCTAGTAAAATTAAATTTTTTTAAAAAAGAATGTTGTTTTTTGGTAGTTCAAAATGCTGGCTGTGCCACTGAGAAATAGATTTGACAATGTTGTGCAGTGCAGCAGCTCCCAATAAACCCCTCCCCAGGGTTTATAATAATATATAATAATATATAAAAATATATAATAATAATATCTATATATATAAATATATATATGCTGTTGGTTTATTTGTGCAGTGCAGATCTCAGACTAATTCAGTTATTTTGAACACTTTGTACCTGCCCTTTTTGCCTTTGCTGGTGATATTTTTTTTCTTGAGATAAAATCTCTCTTGAGAAATCCTCTTCCAGGATTCCTTTGGGGTTTTCTCTCACTAACCCTAATGCTGCTGGTAACTTTTAGCTTTAAGCAGTTTCCATTAAATTTATTTTAAGATGGAAAAGAAACTTCTCTGAGCAAGAGCTGTCACAGTTATCCCTGGGCAGCTGCTGTGAGGCTCTGAAACAATTAAATTTTGGTTGTGTAAATGCTCCTGTGTAAGTTTAGACACTTTAATGTCTTACATGTGGTTTTACAATTGGGTTTTATTTTGTTAGCAATCCCCAAGTGTTCTTGTAATTCTCCAGTTCCACACTTGGGGGTCAGAGTGAAGGGAAAATAAGGCAAATGTTTTAAGAATTATATTACTGGTTTAATGCAGTGTTCAAAAATATCTTAAATTATCTAAATAGACTTTAGATCAAGTGTTTTCTTTTTTTTAGTAAAGATTTGGACAGGAAAGAAAGTAGTTCAAGAACAGTAAATCCTTTAGATGACTTTTTTTTTTCCACCAAAGTTAATAATGTTTTTATGAGGCAAAATTCTCCTTGCCCAAAATGCCAACCTTAATTCTGACACAGAAAATAAACAGCTAAAATCATTCTTGATGTAGAGTTAGGAGCTGGGATTCAAAATTCTGGAAGAACCTTTCTTACTGTAAGGAATTTTTATGGATTGGATGTAGAAAACAGGGATTGGAAAAAACAGGAGGAGGTTTCCTGCTTTGGTGACACAAGGCATTGAAAAGCTTGGATGTGTCTCTGTAAAAGAAAAGAGAAAATTTGGATTCTTAATCTCTCTTTAAAATGTCACAACCTGGGGATCCATTTAAACGTAATTCTTTCCATCATGCAAGCCTTTAACTAGAAATGTGAATGTGTTGATGTTACAATATTCAGGCAGTGGCACAGAAAGAGCTGAGCTTTTCCTCAGCAAAGCCATTTTCCCGTGCTGAGCTGGGCTGTGAGCTCAGCTCGCGGTGCCTGCCCAAGGCTCCGGCTGAGCGGGCGCTGTCTCCGCAGGCGCGGGGCAAGAAGCGCCAGATCGGCTGGTTCCCGGCCAACTACGTCAAACTGCTGAGCCCTGGCACCAGCAAGAGCACCCCCACCGAGCTGCCCAGGCCTGCAGCAGCCTCAGGTGAGCCCTGCCCCGCGGCCTGGGCCTGCAGCTGGGAGGGGTGGGGGGCTCCAGAGCCTCGGGGGTGTTCCTGCATCTCCAATCCTATCCCAACCCATCCCCATCCCCAACCCCTCCCATCCCATCCCCATCTCCATCCCAACCCATCCCCATCCCCAACCCCTCCCATCCCCATCCCCAACCCCTCCCATC